TCTCACGCTGCTGAAGTCGTAATTTAACACCATTGGATGTTTCGCAAGCGTTACTAAAACTGGAGGAACCAACGGGATATTCGTAATTCTATATTGTTCAACGGATTTGAGCAACGTTTCTAAATCAAAATTTCGCATTATGCATACAGTTGCACCACAACTTATTGCTATGTTCATCATTCCAAATGCATAACCGTGAAACAGTGGCAAGAAAATCAGTATTCGTTCTCCACGTTGAATATTTATACAACTTGGATAGCTTCATTAAAAGAAAAGTCGTTGAGTTAAATAATTATAATCTAAGATGGAATAATTTATCTTAATAATTTAATTATGACTATGAAATACTTTAAAAGATAATAACAATAAATTGAATGCTGAGAAAAGAATAGAATTTTCCAGTTATTTATATGTGTTAAATATATAAAAGCTATATATTTTATCTGTTTTATCTTATCCAATCTCAAATATTATACAATTAAATGCACATATCAGAATAATGATATGTTACTTTAATCCTCGTCCGTTTGTCGTATTTTCAAGTTAATTCATCCCTTCAAGTTGACATAGTGATAAAAAATTAATATAAAAATATAAGTAATTGAATTTGCAAATTTTGTTATTAAGAATAAATTAGATTTTTATTTAATCATGTATAAAATTCACACTTTTTGACTTTCAGATTTCTGTTATACAGGATGGTCTATTTAAGTGAGGCCACCTAAATATCTTTTCGAAATGTGACGATACAAAAAATATTTTTTACCTATCGTAAATAGTATCGAAAAATCTAGAACTGGTAAGAAGTTCTTTTTTTTTTTTAAAGCAGGTGTGGCTGATGTGTCAGGCCTGGGTGATCTGAAAGGGCAGGGAATGTTGTCGCGCATCCCAGATTCGAGCTCGGCTTCTTGCTTTGGCCTCTCGCAGATCTTCCTTGTTGCGAGGCTTTCGTCGCGGATTGTTTTTTCGGCCGCCATTCAACGCTCAGCTTAGAACTGGTACGGATTAGGGGAATCCGACTGTCTAATTGAAACAAAGCATTACGATGGCCCCCAAGAGTGTTGATGTAATATGATTTTTTTGCCCAGTGCTTTGAATGTGAAGAAATTCAAAAAAGCGCGGGAGTAACTATGACTCTCTTAAGGGGATCATAGTTAGTAAGTAGCCATCTCCTCGTTGGTTCTCACCGATAATTCTCCACTTTAGGGGAGGAGCAAAGAGCTACCTCTGCGCTAGATAGTCCTGCGGGCTGCCACGGACTATGCCAAAACTCAAAGAGACTAAAAATCCAGGCAAATGCATTAAAACTATTCTGAAAACAAAAACAACTGATAGTTGATCAAAAAAAGCATGATCAACTTCTGGCAAAACGTCATGACCGACGAGGTCGACAAATCCTCTGTAATTGGGTCGAGACAGCCTGTGATTAATGATTTATGAAAGTCTATAACTCTCAGCGAAATTAAGAAGTCCTTCCCGGATCTCAGAACAGCACCGGGACTCGATGGACTCACAGTTCGACAACTGAGAGCAATTCCGCTCGAAATAATAGTAGAAGTTAAGATTTTCAATTTTTTCCTGATATGCGGGAAACTGCCTCAGGATCTTCTAAAAGCTAAGATCACTTATCCCAAAGAAGGATAGTGCTCGGGAGCCAAGCCACTACCGATCTATCACGATCTATTCTAACGAGAGCATTTTTCAACGACAAAGTTCTTGACGAACTACCTGACCAGCGTGATTGTCTTGGACCCAAGGCATTCCTTCCAAAAAATAAATGCGCCGAAAATATCATCTCGACCTGATCATGATATTCCATCGACAGCACTTGGGCTGCTTTACATGGCTTCCATCGATATAGTCAGAGCCTTTGAATCTGTGTCGCACAAAACCATCAAAGAGACACTATATATATGAAAGACCTACCAGAACCGATGACTGGCGATGGACACTTACCACCGTAGTCTTACACATCTGGCTGGAAGTCTGATGAATTTAGCCCATTATGTGAAGTCAGGCAAGAAAATCCCTGTCTCCTATAATTTTTAACATGGTCATCGATAGACTTCCTAATCTTATCCCATCGGAGATTGGCAACTGTATTGGCGAAGACTGTTTCAACGCATTTGCATTTACAAGTGATCTAATTTTTGTTATCTTAACCTGGAGGTCTTCAACAGACGATTAGGCAGCTGACTTCCTGGCGCAGTGTGGACTTAAAATTAACGCCACTGTTACACGGTACAAAAGTATATACATAAGGTATTCCGTTACTTAGGAAAGGTGTATTTGGCGTTTCATACCCGGAAAATGAAAAACCGGTTTTATTGCTCATGCCTCTTCCCAATTTTACCAAGGTTCTGCATTCCAAAAAGTTCTGAACCGTAATGGTAACAATCTTATGAAAC